CATTTAATAGTTTTAGCTCTTCGGCTGAAACTGCTGTGTGCATAAAACCATACAAACATACATACAACAACAACAACAACAATAACAACTAAGCCTTTTCCCACTAAGTGGGGTCGGCTGTATGAATCCTAGAACGCCATTGCGCTCGATTTTGTGCCACGTCTTCTATTAGATCAAAGTTCGACTTGTATGCCATTGTTCTCTCCTCTAGTTGTAAGTTTTGCATAGACTGTATGTGTCGATTGTTCTTAGAATTTTAATTCCGAGGAACCTCTTCCTGTGTATTATCTCTTCTTGTTATGCCTTTGTTTCTCTGGCATGATTGATTTGTATTAGGAAGATGATTGTGGTTCTTCTCAGTTTCTCTTCCTACTGTTGAAGTTGTCTTTTGCTTTGAGGTGCAATATCGATCTGGTATCGACAGAGTTAATAGGAATTGACTTAATTCAAATAGCCCTAAAGTTAATAGACGCTGAATTAATTCAGACAGCCCTATGATGTTTATTGCCGAACTCAAATTAAAGGACAACCTTACCTGATCAAAACAATATATACTATGAAAAAAAATTTGTTCGAATATGAACAAATATTTCAAGCCATTGTCTTTGTGTCCCGTAGGCAGAAATTAGACACGTCTATACTCCCAGAAAGGAGGTAATGTGGACTAACCTAAGTCTACACGGTTACGAAGACATAATTGTTCTCTACGGCCTTTTCTTTGTATATATTATGGTGTCTAAATTCATGTTCTTTTCATCTATACTGCATGAGACAAATGATTGTTACATTTGTTATTTTTTTCGTTTCATGTTTTTGTACTCATGCCTAATTGTCTATTTATTTTTCTTTTCTGTGTCCGTGCAACCAGCAAAAGTTCACTCTCTGGAGTTGCTCCACTTGAAGCAGTATTATTTGATATTGATGGAACGCTGTGTGATTCGGATCCAATTCATTACTATGCCTTCCGTGAAATGCTACCAGAGGTAGATGTCCTTTCTTTTTGTTTGGTCTTTTCCTTTTTCTTACGATTAGTCGGGCAATAAATTTACTTATTGTTACTCTACATTCATATCGCACTGTGAAAAGTGCAAAAGGTGCATCTACGGTTTTATGAAAGTTGCTCATACTTTTTATAAGCTTTATATACAACGGAAAGGTGTACTGAAGTGGGAAAATTAACAGATAGGTTTCAACGGAGGTGTTCCGATTACCGAGGAGTACTATATTGAGAATTTCGCTGGGAAGCATAATGATGATGTTGCCAGGATACTCTTTCCTGATGACTTCGAAAGAGGCTTAAAGTTCACAGAAGACAAGGAAGCCATGTTTCGCAGGTAAAAACTTCACTTTCTCTGTGCTGCGTGCATAGCATTTCTTTCTGGTTCCCACCTTACATAATTTCCCTGATGGAAACAGATTGGCCGTAGATAAATTGAAGCCTGTGAATGGTCTCTATAAAGTGAAGAAATGGATTGAAGATCGTGGGTTGAAACGGGCTGCTGTTACTAATGCAAGAGTGAATGCAGAGCTGATGATTTCAATGCTTGGCCTCTCAGATTTTTTTCAAGGTCTTGTCATTGGGAATGAGTGTGAGCATGCTAAGCCACACCCCGAGCCCTACTTGAAGGGTCTTGAAATACTCAAAGCATCAAAAGAACACACTTTCGTGTTCGAGGTTTGCCTCTTCTCACGTTATGCTTTGAGAGAAATTTAAATGGGGGAACTTTGGAAACTTATGTTCTGATTTTGCTAGGATTCTGTCTCGGGGATTAAAGCAGCAGTTGCAGCCGGTATGCCAGTCGTTGGATTAACCACTGGGAATCCAGAACACATATTAGTGGAAGCAAAACCCACCTTTCTCATAAAGGACTATGAGGACCCAAAGTTGTGGGCGGCATTGGAAGAACTTGATAAGAAGAGCGGTACAAGTAGAGCATGAAAAGTTCTATCGTCTCAATCAAACGATTATAAGCTTAAAGGGTTACTAAAGGATGATTTGCAAATGCAGTAGTAAACTCAAAAGGTTTCTTAAATAATTCTGTCGCTGCCGCACACTTTTATCCGTCCATGGCCGCAAATTCTTGATGCCGTACAAGTTTCTTAAATAATTTCGTTGATAAAACGGATGCTGTATTCTTTCGCGGCCCATTCTCTCGTAAAATTGAAGTATCTGTTGTTGATTTTCTTCAATGCATGCATTTGATTCTGCAGTTGGAAATGAAGTGCTCTGTTTCACTCCAAGAAAGTGAAGGGCAGAGAATGGCTCCCAGCGAAACACCGGATTACGTACTATTAATTGTTACCGAAACGTTAATTTATTTTATATCAAATAAATGGATCGTCTTTCATGAAACTGTTAATTTTTACCTGAACGTTCATTTATTTTATACATTAAGATGACTAATTAACAATCACCAATTTGATTATTATTATTTTATTGCAGAAATTATCTTTGAACTTTTTTTTTGTTGAAAAAATTCTGATTATGATACTTATACGGTTAAACCTAGAAGCTAAAAGTTGACCGGATGGATTTAGTAGTACATGTAACTTGTGTGATTCTATGAACTATGAAATGACATCAAATCTCCTCTTTCTTTTTTTTTATTTTTTTTTGAATGGTGAAATTGGGGGTCAAAATACCAAGAAAAACAACTTAACTATAAACAAAACAGATCTGGGGAAACCCAACAACATCCTCAAGGATCAACCTATCCACAAAAGGAGGAGGCTCATAAAAAATATGAGGACCAATGTCAAACTTATGGCCTAAATCTGCCGTACCATCAGACACTTTATTCTTCTCACGATAAACATGTGAAACCGAGCAAATCGAATCCTGCGCAATAACTCAAATCTCAGTTCTTTATTGAGTATATATCAATAACAAACTTAAATCCCTTCCTTTTACAGCAACAAACGCAAAATAATTTACATCCAGAAAAATAAAACCCAAACACAAATGAGAAGAAACAAATGTGAACTTTCTCAACTAGTTCCTCCAATAATATTTAGAAGGGTAATCAAATAAGAAGTTCTAAAATTTGGGATCGAAAATGAAAGAAGTCTACTTCTAAATATTCTGAAAATTTGAAAAAGAATATTATTTGAAACTATACAGATGTTTTTTTTTTTTTTTTATCAATCAAATTTAACAAACCTTCATTTGCTAGCATGTACAGAAAATGGTCAGATATTACTTTAGTCTAAAGTTGGGGAGGGGTGGCACCGTAGCCATTTCAGTTGGGGATTTCATTTTATTTACGGAATTACCATTGGTTTATAGAATAGGGTGGCTAAGTTTGTGCTTTGGGCCGCCCATGCATTTTCTTTGGGCTTTTTTTGCGTGGCCTGTTTCCGTGTCTAGGATTTAGGCCCACTTGGGTGTTTTAAAGACCGTTGTGCCCATCTGGGCTTTAAATCATAGGGCTCCGTGTATAACTTTGGTGGGCAGTTTCGTAATTTTCTTTTTCGAAGGAGTTAGTGTTGGATGGGTTGGAAGGTCAACCCAATCCTAACCCAGCTTTTACAATTCAGGCTTGGGTTCGGGTTGGGTTTCATTTGGGCTCGGTTTTAATTGGGTTCGGGTTGCCCAACTTTTTTGAGTTTAATTATGTAACAACTTAGTTTCTAAGAATTCTTAAAAAAATTAAGCCGAGTAGCATCAAAGTTAGTTAACTTTAATTTCATAAATCAATCAAAGTTGCTGAGCAATTGCTTCGAGACACAAAGGATTTAGGTTTTGGAGACTAACAATCAACTATAAAGCTTTAGGATTCAGAGACTATAAATATGGGCTGACTAATCTAAGCCTTTTATTCCCCCAAAGCTTAAGTAATTATAAATGATAATTTATTTAAAAAAGAAAAAGAAAAGAAAGGGCGTTGGTTTTTGGACTTAGGCCACTTGGGTGTAGTATAAGAATTAATTGATATGGGTTACAATTTGGTTAGATTGGGTTTGGTTAATTGGGTTGGGTTGGGGATGGATGGACAAATGATCCATCCAACCCAACCCAATCAATGAATGGGTTGAAATTGGGTTGGGTTGGTTTAGGGATGGAAGGGCAAATGATCCACCCAACTTAACCCAATCAATGAACGGGTTGAAATTGGGTTGGGTTCGGACGGGTTATAACTAAAAAAAATTCGCTTGTTTGAGTTTAAAGTAGAGTTGGACATGGACGGGTTCGGATTGGCCCAACCCAAGTTGCACCCTTAGTGGTCGATGGGTTAGATAGGGGGCTTACACGTTCGTGTTTGGTGAGGGTGGTTGTTACTTAGAGCATTTCCACCCCTAAAAAAATCCTTGGTTATAGGCAATTCAATCCCCCCAAAGTGAATAGTAACTACCCTTAGTGAACAGTAACTGTGTAAGTGCATTTTCACCCCTAAACTGAATAGCTCAAGCAATTCATATTAAAATATTATTAAATGTTTTTTTTAAATACTAAAAGATAATTTTATTTTTAATTTCGGATGATAATAAAAGATTGGTTGAAAGTATTTGAAAATATTGAAATGTGGTGTAAGGTGGAAGAATATGATTAGGTATTTATAGGAAGAGAGAGAGTGTGTGTGGAAGGGGGCGAGTAAGGCCCCTTCGTGCACCATTTTCTCATCCTTTGTCCACGGTGTGGGCATATAGAGTGGGGTTTGGTAAGGGCGGCTGTTACAGAGAGAGGGAGAGAAAGTGGTACACCCAATTGGTTCAAGAGCTGAAAGAAGAAATAATAGAAAAAATGCAGGGAAAAGTAAAGGAGAAAGGGAGAGAAGTTGAGAGAAAAGAGGAAGAAAAGTCTATTCATTCATTCATAATCCCCTGAATAACTCACAGCACATTGTTTATACTTAAGCTGAAAGGAAAACCCTAGCTAAGGAGGGCTTGGGCTATGCGTAACAAAACTAATGCATGGACTAACAAAAGTGGGCTGGACAAGAGTTGATAGGCCCACACATATGGTTCTAACAACTCCATCCGCTTTGAAATTGGACCTGTCCTCAGGTCCTAAAGTCTGGGTAACGGGCAAAGATTTCATCTGCAATCTCCCAGGTGGCATTTTCGTCTGGTAGACCTGTCCATTGAATAAGCCATTTAGTGACTGCAGCGTTTTTATGTTTGAACATACCACGATCCAAAATTTTCTCTGGTTGCCAATGCAAAGACCCTGTGGAGTCGATAGGTGGGAGAGTTGGGTTTGGAAAAATATCATCCCCTATCTTTTTCTTGAGCAGGGAGACATGGAAGACATGATGTATTTTGGAATCAGGAAGGAAGATGAGATGATATGCGACGGAACCGATACGAGCCTTCACTTGGAACGGCCCATAAAATTTCTTGTTGAAATGTCGAGTAGTGACGGATTGTTGGCGATACGGTTGAACTTTGAGGTAGACCCAGTCACCCACCTCGAATACTCTCTCTGTACGGCCTTTGTCGTAAGTTTGCTTCATACGGTTCTGGGCAAGTTGGAGGTTGGTACGCAAGAGGCGGAGAAGGGTGTCACGGTCTTGTAAGGACTTGTTGACCCTGTGAATTGCAGTTGTACCTGGCATGTAGGTGTGGACGGTTGGGGGAGGCATGCCGTATAAAGCCTGGTATGGTGACATTTTGATGGAAGCTTGGAAGGTGGTGTTGTACCACCATTCGGCCCAGGGGAGGAGTGATGCCCAGTTGTGAGGTCGATCCGCCGAGAAGCATCTGATGAAGTGTTATATGGTTTTGTTAAGAACTTCAGATTGTCCATCAGATTAGGGGTGGTATGCTGAAGTGTGACAGAGTTTGGTGCCTTGTTGTTTGAAAAATTCTTGCCAAAAATGGCTGAGAAACGTGGGATCACGATCAGAGACCATAGATTTGGGCATGCCATGGAGTCGGAAGATGTTTTTGATGAAGGTGTCATCAATGGAAGCCGCCGTATACGAGTGTTTGATGGGGACAAAGTGGCCATATTTGGTTAAGCGGTCCACAACTACCAAGATAATCGTGTAGCCATTAGATGTCGGGAGACCTTCAATAAAGTCAAGGGCAATGTCTTGCCAAATGCCGTTAGGAATGGGCAATGGTTGTAAGAGACCTGGCGGGTGCACAGTTTCGGTGTTTTGACGTTGGCATTCGGGGCATGTAGAGACAAAGTGCTTGACATTCTTACGAATACTTAGCCAAAGGAAATTCCGTGAGATGCGGTTATAGGTTCGAAGAAAACCCGAATGACCTCCTTGCAGCGAAGAATGAAATTCCTGCAAAATTTTGTTGCGCCATTGAGAAGTGGCAGGGACAAAAACCATCTGCTTGTAGTGAAGAATCCCATTAACCAAAGAGAAGCCCTTAGTGACCGTGTGCGATGATTGCAATAAGGATGGCCAGAGATTTTGAACTTGGGGGTTCGTTGTATAGGATTGTTGAAGCTCCGAAATGCAATAAAAAACTAGAAAGGATAATCCCATGAGAAGCAGCAGCTCGTGCTTGCGGGAGAGTGCATCCGGACCCCCATTTTACGAACCTGGCCTGTAGTCGACAGTGTAGTTATACCCAAGTAACTTCACAAGCCACTTTTGTTGTTGTGGAGTTGTAATATGCTGCTCAAGGAAGTGTTTGATGGGCTTGTGATCGGTTACAATACGGAACTGGTGACCCAATAAATAATGTCTCCAATTTTGCACTGCAAAGACTATTGCAAGCATCTCTTTGTCGTACGTAGAGAGGGCGAGGTTGCGTCCAGACAGTGCCTTGCTAAGATAAGCGATTGGATGCCCATCTTGGCATAGAACAACCCCTATACCAACACCAGAAACATTTGTTTCCACGACAAACTGTTTAGTGAAATCTGGGAGGGCAAGCACCGGTGTGGATGCTAAGGTGTGCTTTAGCTTGTCAAATGCAGTGCGAGACTCCGTGGTCCAAGTGAAATTGTCGTTTTTCAACATAGAGGTCAATAGCTTGGCAATGAGTCCATAATTACGGATGAATTTGCGATAATAACCTGTCAATCCCAAGAAACCCCGAAGGCTTTTAACAGATGATGGTTGCGGCCAGTCCACAATTGCTTAGATTTTGGAATTGTCAACAACAACGCCATGTCTCGAAATTGAATGTCCCAAATAGTCCACTTTGTCTTGACCAAAAGAGCATTTGCTAAGTTTAACTCTCAAGCTGTGATGGGACAATACTTGAAAAACAGTCTCCAAATAGGAGATGTGAGTGGCAAGTGTGGGACTATACACAAGTATATCATAAAAAAAACTAAAACAAACTTACGCAAGTAAGGTTGGAAAATTGAATTCATCAAGGCTTGAAATGTGGATGGTGCATTGGAGAGGCCAAATGGCATGACCAAGAATTCAAAATGACCATCATGAGTGCGAAAAGCTGTTTTTGCAATGTCCTCGAAGTGCATTCTGATTTGGTGGTATCCAGAACGGAGATCGAGCTTCGAAAAGATCGGTGCACCATGCAATTCATTAAGTAACTCATCCACAATTGGAATGGGGAAACGGTCCTTTATAGTGGCTACATTCAAGGCTCTATAATCAATGCAAAGACGCCAAGAGTCATTTTTCTTTTTGACAAGGAGAACCGGGGATGAAAATGGGCTGCAGCTGTTACGAATTACCCCTGAGGTTAAAAGTTCCTGGACTTGTTTTTCAATCTCGGCCTTTTGGGAATGTGGGTAGCGATATGGGCGGACGTTTATGGGTGCATTGTTGGGTAACAGGGGGATTTGATGGTCAATGTGGCGTGGTGGGGGCAAGCCAGATGGTACTGAGAAAAGGTGTTTGTAGTGTGTTAAAAGGGAGCTGATAGCTGGGGGAGTGTTAGGAGGAGGTGACAGAGGTTGGGTAGTGTATGGGCTAGGGTTGGTATCTAGGAGAGGTAGTGGTATGGAATGGCAAACATGGATGGACGGTTAAGCGGAGACTAGCCCCTGAAGGGTATAGGTAGTTCCATGATGAGAGAAGATCATTGTTTTGTGTTTGAAATGCCATCCGATAAGGCCGAGAGATTCCAACCACTCGAAACAGAGAATTAAGTCATAACCAGGAATATCCAAGAGGAGGAAAGACCCTTGCAATGTATAGTCTTGTATATGTACTGTCACGTTGTGAACTCGAAATGAGGCTGACACTTATTTGTGGAAGGCCATGGTGAAGTGAATGGGGGCAATAGGTTCAATTGGCAAGCCCAATTGATGTGCTAGATTTGTGTGGAGCAGATTACAGGCCGCGCTGGAGTCAATGAGAATGGTAATCGGTGTGGATGCGATGAAACCATGTAAACGCATCGGTTGACCAAAGTGTAGGCTGGGGATGGAAAAAAGGTCTAGCATATAACAAGATGGGTCAGGAGGAGGGTCTTCCTCTGATGGACAATCATGAAACTCGGTAGTGTCATCCTCGGGACTAGTTGCATCAAGCAACACTATCATGGGGTTCTTACATTTGTGACCCGGAACATAAGGTTCAGTGCAGTGAAAGCATTCCCGTTTACGGATTTTGTCCTGAACTTCCGTTGGATTGAGCCATTGAAAAGGACCAGGAAGGGGTTGAAGTGGTTTGGAACCTGAAAGGATCGGTGTGGGGGTGGTGTGAGGGGGTCTCTGAAAGCTGGGAGACGGGTAGGATCGTGGAAATGCCGGTCGAGATGGGCGTTTCGCCTGGTTCTTGGTCTAAAAATCTTAGCTAGTTTCTGAGCTTGGTGTAGGGAGTCAGGTTCCAAAGCAAGAACATCATGACGAACGTGCTCCTTCAGACCACCCAAAAACACATGTTTGAGCTGATTCTCGGTCCAGTCGATTACCCGACACGATAGTTTAGTAAATTTAGCAATATACTCATCCACAGTACCACATTGTTGAATATGGGTGAGATGAGATTCAATATTTGCCCTATCACCGCCACCAAAGCATTGAAGCAATAGTTCAACAAACAATCCCCAATTATCTCGACCATATCTCTGTTCAAAGCCTCTCATCCAAATGGAAGCATCAACACCAAAGTTACATGCAGCAACAAGGACCCACTGTTGAGGAGGGACCTCATAATAGTCGAGGTAGCGCTCAGCCATAGCTAACCAACCGTAAGGGTCGTCCCCGTTGAAACGAGGGAGTTCCATTTTTATGGCTCTGAAATGAGGCTGCGGGTGTTGGAAGTGATTCGGTGATGGCGGGGTGTGGGTAGTAGAAGTGGGGGTGGGCGAAGGTGCAATATGGAAAGAATGGGAGTGAGATGGGATCGGGGTGTAAGGATGGGGGGAAAATAGAGATGAAGAGGCCTGGTGGGTCTGAGGTTGGGCGGGCCGAGGTGTAATGGTAGTGGGAGATGGGGTGGGCCCGGTTGAGGAAACATAAGTGGGTAATGGTGCTAAAAGAGGTGGTTGGGCTAGTGAGGAGGGTGGGGGGTTAGAGAGGCCCAAACCCGTATAGGAGGTTGTGGGTGGGGAAAAAAAAGAGAGGAACGACGGTTGCGGGGTCTGGGTAGAAGAACGGGGTGGTTGGGTGGGGGTTGTTGTGGTCGTTGTGGGTGGCACGGTGGTGGTTGAGGAAGGGGAAAGGCTGATTTGAGGAGGCGAAGCTCATCAAGAATCAGAGACTGGAATGCTGTGAACTGGGAAGCCATGGTGCTTTGAAATGCAGCATTATAATCATTAAGTTGGTTTAGAGATTTTTGGAAGGAAGTTTGTTGTGATTCCAGAGTCGAAATGGAATCCCAGACATCGTCGACCTGGGTACTAAGGAAGTCTGCATGTGGCGATTCTATACGTGATTTGCTCATCCTTGGTCTACCCTATGTCTGCATCTATTGATTGACAAGATAAGAATTGGTTTTTTAATCTATAACCCATGTTTTTGTGAATTTTTAATGAATTAGGGGTTTTTGAGTGCTTTATGTGTTCTCATTCTTTGATGCATTAAAGGCCTGCCTATTCTCATTTTATTTTTCTGGGTTCGATTCTATTATCCTCTGCGTTTTTCTCTTTAAAGGTGGGTTGTCTCCTTCAGGGTATAATCTGCGTTTTATTGTTCATTTAAGTTTAAAGCCATGCTTTTGTGTGTTTTTTTTTTATAATGAATTAGGGTATTTAGAGAGTATTTGTGTTCTCATTCTTTTGCTTCTTTAGAGACTTGCCTGATGTGTTTAATATTATTATCTCACTACTAGAATTTGGCTCATAGGCCACCATTTTTTTCCCACCCTTTGAAATTGGTGGCCATATATGTAAAGTTGCTACTCTTACAATTTTTTGGTGGCTTTACCATGGGATGCCACTGATGTTGGTGGCCTTCAAGATTTAGCCACCAATGATTGGTGGCTGTTAAATATTTTTATTTCTTAAAATTTATTTCCTTCTACTTTTTAATTTCATATGTATTTTTTAATTTATTTTGTTTGGCAGGGCAGGTTAATTTTTTTGTTTATAAAGCTGGGATATATCTTTGTTTATCAGGACCTACGGATGCACGTCCAATACAAAAGGGAGACAGAGCCAAAACCCATAGAAGGACAGAGCCTTCGACCCTACTCGCATATATCGGCCATTATTGCATCAGTGATGAAGTCGGCTGGTTCCGCGAACCAGTCGCAGTCGTGCAATGCGGACAGGGCGTAGCGGA